GTTCATCGCATATATATATATATATATTGGTCTACTGACTCGTAATTATTAATCATTTTTATGTTAGTAAAATAGGTACTAAACATATAATACTAAACATAAACGTGGTTGTAAGTTGGACTTCAGTGGGCAAAATTTAGCTATTCTGATATTGAAATTATGTTCGTTCCTAGTATTCCTATTGTCTTAATCCTTTTCTGGGTTATTGTTTGTTTTTTTTCAAATATTACACTATTAAATTTTTTTGAAACGAAGATAAGACTGGATTCTTAATTTTTTTCTAACCACATTTTAAAAATAATTGGTCAGGTTTGTATGGACTAAAATGAATTAAATGCCTAATTAGTGAAAGAGTTGATGTGAAAAAATAAAATCGGCATGTCGATATTTTTTGATGCGTGTAAATAGCGAACGGTCTTCCTGTTAGCCCATTATTATAATTACAAGTCTTTTCACTGCCAAATCGAAACTTTCCATCTATTTTATAAATTTCAAGTATATATTTTCTTCTTGTGATTTTCAACTTTTATGTCCAAAATCTTTCGAAAAAACTACTAAACTACTACTAAAATACTCAATTTTGCCTTAAAATCGTCTATTTAAATATTTATATAAAAATTAATAGCAGTGACAATATTTGATTAATTTCATAAATTGTCACTGTCGCATGAATCCATAAGAGAAATATTGTCTGGTCTTTGAAAAAAAGAAATCGTTAAATGTCCACGCTTCCTGGATGTGTCATTCCTTTATGAAATATATTGATGTGGATAAAATGAAATTCGGAAATTCTAATTTTTATGAATGGATTTTTTAAAACATTTCTGCAATTTGATTTATTCGTTTGTTTGATTAAAATTTTTATAAGAAACTTGATAAATGCGAAAATCAATTGGAATAGTATTAAGCTGATCGTTATTAGACTTTCTTTCTCATTCTTTAAAAATTCATTGTTAAAATTCTTCATAATTTTATGAAATATTTATCATTGATCCATCTTTTTATTAAATTAAATACTATCAAACAATTAGGCATCATTGTAGTCGAATTTTTTTTATCATATCAAGCGTCATTTACCTCTGAAAAAAATGGAAAATCATTTTCATTAAATATTAATTTTGTTGGAAACACTAATAACTGATGGAATCAGTCTAACAACAAATGGCGAGCACTAACCAATCACTAACTGAGAATTTATAAGACATTTTTCTTTTAATATCTTTGATATTTATCGCTGATTCATCATTGTTATATAATTTTTCATAGATATTTATTACTATCATTGTTATTAATTCAATTCAGAATTTTCTTGAAACGAGTCATAAAAATATCAATTTTCATTGCATATTGTAAAAATGATATTCCTTCAAAATCTCTTACGCAAAGTGCCATAATGTTGGCTCTCCATAATCTTCTAAGCCCACTGTTTATCATTAATGCTTAATCTGGTTGTAATTCTTAAAAGAGTAAAATACTTCTAAGACTGCTGATCCAAAGGTCCAAGCTGATCCATATTTGAAAATGATAGAAATCTCTCGTTTTATCCACCCCTTTAACCCATTTATAGTACTGACTACCGAGTTATTTAGATATTTTTAAGAATTGATTTCTTAATTAAGAAACTAATTTATTGTAAATAAAACAGACGGCTATCTGCAGCTAAAGACTTCTTATTTGATATTAGCATTCTTCCTTCAGCCTTTGCCGATCTTTAATACTGTAAATTATGGAAATAAAATCTGTAAGCGAAAATGCAAGTGAGATTAATTCAGTTTTTTTAAAGCAAATATTAATGATTTGCAATTATTTTAAATTACCTATAAAAGTGAAATTATTTTTATGTTGTAAAATTAATTGAATAAATCTTTTCCAGATTATCGCATACCATCATTTTATTTGCTTCCCTCGTGTTTTGTCGTTTGTATACTCTTTACATTGTTTATAAACTTTATGCAGCGTATTGTCAGAAAGTTATTAGTAAAATAAAATTTAAGTAATTTAATTCTGTTAATTCTGTAAAACTTTTTTAGTGCTTTGAAGGAAATTATTAGAGTTTAGCAATGCAATTTTGCAAAGAATTTCTGTCTGGAATTATCCATATTTTTTTTGTAGACATTTTGCGTTTATACGTTTATCGAGAGTTATATGGCTAAAAGGCTAAAATGGCTTATCGTTTAAATTTATTTCAGTTGTTAAGAACGGACCTAAAAGTAAGTAATCATTAAAATTCTCATCTCTTCTGCCTTACTGATATTGCAATTTCATTTTTTATTAGAAGAAATTTTCGGAAAGGAGTTTGAAAAAGGTTGGCTGATATGATAATTTGGAATTTCCCAAAAAATAAATGAACTGTAAAAATTTTTTTTACAAAAGATTTTTAGAATAATATTGTGCTGAAGATTAAATTACTATCTATCACCATTATTTCCAAAGTCTATTTATGGTAGTAAAAATCAAATCAGGTTGTGTGACTAAACTATATCTATTGTAATTGTATCTAAATGAAGATTTTATGGAGAAAACCAAGTCGGAATGTTTGGCCAACTTGTTTATTATTTAGAAGTAATGGTAATATTGGTATAAAAACCAGTTCGAATAGTGTGTTCAGATACATATTATCTAGATTATCACTTCTAGCTTCATCATTGGCTTCTATAGGGCAAGTGAACCTAAACTTATTTCTTTATCTCCGAGTGATTATTACTATCTTTCACTAGTAATCAAAAATGCTGAATCTGGACAATCAAAAATTTAATTGCTCTTAATCGCATTTTTTGGGCGAGATTGGCAAAAAAATTGTATTAAACAATTTCACTAATGACCATTTAGCTGGTTATTCGTTTTATTAATTTGTTTCCAATTTCAAGAATTCTAATAAGCAGTTCGTTCAAATATATTTAAATATTTATTGAGAATTAACAAAAACTATTGAAATTATATTGCCGTATTGGTGAAATAAATGTACGATAGAATGAAGGTTTATGAATTATAATTATAAAATCTTTTAGTGCTTTAAAGTTCTTTGTTTTATCGAGAATTATTTAAAATCATTATTATTATTTTTAAAATTATTTAAAATCATAGTTTTATTTTATCATAATGTATAAGAAGGATGTTTATCCTTAGGCTAAGACAAAATAGTTTTTCGTTTCATTCATTTTTTTTCCAGTCACTTGAAATATCTAAAGTTTAATATCGGAAATTGACCTTGTATTAATTATTTTTTTCCTCAGGTTTGATTTATGATGAAATTCCGTGGAACGGCTTTGTCTCATATTCATATCAGTTAGACTTTTTTTCCATTACTTATCTTAATAGGGGTTATGATGGTTAATTTATTACAGCACATTCTATATAACATTTAAAATAGAGAAGTTTACAATATTGGTGGTTTCAGTGGTTTCATAAATTTATGATTTGTTAAATGATTGATTTATAAATTCATGCGAAATTAGCCCCCTAGTGAAATTATATAATTGAGGATCTTGGTTCCTTACATGCTGAAGACCTGAAGAGTTCGAAATATTTTATATTATTTTGGTGCAAAAAATTCAAAATATATTGAGGACCTCGGTAAAATTCATAATGGATCTCGAAGATTAAATGCCTCGAAAAAAAAATTTTCTTCATTACTTTGGCACAAAAATTAATATTAATTACGACACTTTATTAAAACTTTATTTATTTTTATTAATCGCTTTAATGATAAATTATTTATTCTTGCGGTTTATTTTTAATTTTAATCTTTTATATATATTTTTATTTTTTTTAGTAAAGTTTTGAAAGTTTCATTGTCTCATAAACATTTGAGGTTTGAGAAAAATTGAGTTATCATTCATCATGATTAGTAATAACTTGTTTTTATTGTTGTTCTATGCAAAAATCGGCATCTTTTCATACTTAATAAATAAACTTGTTTTCTTCAAATCACCTACTGTTCTATTCGCTGAATCGATTTACTCTAAAACATATATCAAATATTTTTTTAAAATCACTTTAGCATTTAGAAATTGATAAAGAAAAGATGCACTTACTTTATCATATCATTTTTATTATCTATTTTTCCGCTGTTTATTTTAGAAATATCGATCCTTTGAATCCTTTTTTCCCCTCTCTTTATATAGCAGTTTTTGCAGAAATTGAGTAGAAATATTTTGTTTGATCTACAAAGTTTTAGTGGTTTTATTGTTTAATTATATAATATCGTGTGGTACCCCCTTATAAATTAATATCAGGCCTTGTGCAATCTTTATATTATTCAATTTCAGGCTCTTATCCTAATTAATTTCTTTCTTCTCCGCTTGGGCCTCTGAATGGCTTTAAAAAGTAATGTTTTTAACGAGGCAATGGGATCAGAGCGAAGAATTAGCTCTTTTAGCACATCATTATCAGTTAGGAGACATTATCGAAAGGTCTAATATTATCACTTTTTTTTGTACTTTATTAAATGTTATTTTAACATTCAATATTCAGAATATGTACCTATAAATGCGGTTTTGTGAAATATAAATCCATTGATAAATGTGCTATCTCTGAATCTTTTTTACCTGAGATAATCAAATAAATTTGGGGAGGAGGTGCGTTGTCAGTTTCATTCGAATTTCCTCTCATGTAACATGGTTTAATCCATAAAAGTGACCAATTTCGTTTCCGCAGTATGGAGGGCTATCTAATGTAAAATTTTTTTCCACTAGTGATTTGTGATGATTCCACGTAACTAGGGATATCTTCTGCAGTGCTGAAAGTAAAGATTCGTTAGAAGATTAGTAGCAAAAAATCCATGCAAAGCGAAGAAAAAAAAGACTCTCCGTCGGTACACTAGCTGCAAACTCTCATATCCTACGTGGGTGAGATGCTATTAGTAAGGTAGAATCTGCCTTTATCTAAATTATCCGTGCTCATCATAAAAGCACAACAGTGATAAATTACAGAAATCTTATAAAACTTGTGGGTGTAAGCCAACCGGTCATTAAAATGGTTTCATGCGGTTGAAATTAATCATGCTCTTTTGGAATGACAATATCGAAACCATTTCTGCCGAAATTATTTTGATACACCCGGTGGTTTTTTTTTGTATATTCATGCAAATATATTTTAGAGGTCCGTTAAGTACTCTTCATCGAGCTGTTCATCGTGCGAGTTCAAAAATTTTTACCGTCAAAAGTATCGACCTTCAAAAATATGATGCTGAATCAGGTTTAACGAGAGAAGGTATTTCAGTCTTTCCTTGACCGTATTCATCAACAATCATATCACTTCATTATCCTTTCAGTCTTATTTCAATTCGCCCCATATCCTATCTCATCTTTTAAAACCAAAATCTCGTTAAAAATTTGTTTAAGCGATTTATTTTTCTTGAAAACAGATTTTAAAGAAATTTACAGATGTTGATCAGGAAATCGAAATTTGTGCTCGCCTTAAGCATCCCTTTTTATGTGAATTAAAGGATGTAATCGCTGGTCAGAAAGCTGTTCATATGGTTTTTGAATTTCTTGACGGCGATGATATTTGTTTCGAGATAGTCAAAAGAGCAAGTGCTGGATTCGTCTATAGTGAAGCAGTTGTCAGGTAATAACATGTCAATTCGTTTTCTTCTGCTGGATTTCCAATTTATTGGTAATCTTTCAAGAACTAATTGGAGATTGTCAGGCATTAGATCGTTTTAAAATTGATTTTATTTATCAAATATATATATATATATATATTTATAAATATGTTTATATTCTCATTATCTTAATTTCAAAATAATTATTCAGTTTAAATTCGGAATTAAAGGAAAATTTTTATTTTAGTGAAATTTGCAAAAATTTAAAGGTATATTTTTAAAGGTATATTTTCTAATTATATTTTAAAAAAATATAAAATTAACAAAAAAATTGAAATCCACATGGTGACTATATTCATCCAACAAAATTTAAGTCCCATCATTTATTACTCTATATTTATCTGTCCGTTTTAAATATTATTTAAATATTTTATTGAAAAAGTAAAAAAAATTTTATAAAAAAAATTATAAAAAATTATTAAAAAGCGAATTATTAAAAAGCGAAGCAAAAACGATTCGAAATCAGCTAAAACATCTAATTAATAAGTATTTATACAATCATCTAAATGACGATTCTTTCCTTCGCTACATTCTCTAAAATTTTTAGTAATAATAGACATATTAGTTAATGGCTACGGCATTCGTGTTCTGATAGTTAATTATGAGATAATTATGGGAATGGAAAGTTGAAGGACTTGAGAATTATTTAGATAATCAAGATTTGAAAAGAAATGATGGGTGATGATGTACTCGTCAGCCGACCATATAAATATGAACAAATTGGTATGAATATGACATAGCTGGAACGGATGAAATCAGTTAATCGCCATTAGCTTTAAATTATCAGAATTAAATGTGAGATGTCTAAATCAGCTCCAATTTTCTCTAATTTTCTAATCTTGATTTTCCAAAAATTATTCAATAGTTTTGTAAAAATTTAATTTCTTATTTATAATCGGAGAGTGTATACGATATAACTGATGGAGGCTTTATAATATGTACATTTTAAGCCATTATATGAAACAATTGATGCAAGCTTTACAATATATGCATAACCAAGGAATCGTACATAGAGATGTTCGTCCACACAATGTTGTGCTTGCAAGGTTTCTTTTTCTCAAATCTTCGAAACCGTGAACAAAACTACAAAGGTTCATGCTGAATAGGGAAGAATATTCAAATATCTAATTTTTTTATCTTTCATTCATAAATTCTTTCATTCAATAAGAATATGGAAATATGGAAAAATTATTACATCAAAGAAAAAAAGAGATTTTTTTTAGTAAAGACAACTCGGCACCATTAAAATTAACTGGTTTTGGTGTGGCAATAAAATTACCTGCCCCTGAAATTGTTATGCGAAATGGTAATGCTTTTAATTTTTTGAAATTCAAGAACTATTTGGGATTATCGAAAAAATTGATTGGCATTATTATATAAACTTATTTATTAAATCTCTTTTAGACTAACTTTATTTTTTAATAACTAATAATAAATAAAGATTTAAAAAAAATTAAACAGAAAACAGCTTTTTTGGCGCTGAAATTTGGCGATTCTTGTCGATTATTTTTTTCCAAGCATTTGTAAATGAAAAATTAATAAATTTGTTAAATATTATTGATATATGTTTTTTCGGTCGTGTCGGTATTCCACAGTTTATGGCACCAGAAGTGGTCAACGATGTCGAATATGGTACAAAAGCTGATATGTGGAGTGCTGGCGTTTTGTTATTTATTTTATTATCTGGTCGTTTGCCCTTTGTTGGTTCACGACAAAGCATATATGAAAATATTACAGAAGGACGATATTCAGTTAATTTTCTAATTATTAGATGAGATGACTAAGCTTTAAACCACCAAACTGTTCAGTAAAAAAAAGCAACGTAAAGAATAACCCAGTCTGCTGAACAGTCCATTACCAAATGGATGGATAATACCATTTTTCTAAAGATTATGTTTTAAATATTGTTTGTTTTTAATTTAAATATGAAATTTAGCATCACGGTGGAACGTGGAATTATATAAGTAATGCAGCTAAAGATTTGCTCATTCGCTTGCTCACTGTTGAACCAAGAAAACGGTTATCAGCTGAAGAGGTTTTAAATCATGAATGGATAAACGATCGTGATCGAACAGCTCCAAAAAAGCATCTTCAAAATACTGTTGAACAAATTAGGAGATATAATGCTAGAAGAAAGCTAAAGGTATTAGATAACTTTTCTTTATTCACCTTTCATCGGTTCACAAGTGGATAGCACTCACCATTTCTGAATAAATTAGCTCCACAGGCTGGTAAAATTCTGCCAGAAAGTATTTTATTGTATTATATCAACGTCTTTATTTAGACAAAAATTAAATAATTTTTTACCTTTATATCCGAGCTATTTTCTCAATAAGTTGGCCGATTATTGTTACGTTGTAATATAGCGAATTCCCTATCAGTAATTTGGGCCACATTTACTAATTGTTAGCAGCTGCTATAAATTTAAGATATGAATTATTTTTGCTATATTGTACCAGAAATGTTGTTCTGCTTCGTTAAACCATTATGTCTCATCGTCTTCTTTATTTGTCTTTATAATGACAACCTTCAGTCCTGTTTTCTTGATTTTTAAACATATTAGTATTTATTTAGTATTTATAGTGTTCATTAAGCCTAAACATTCAGAAAGAAATTTGTGATTGCTTGTGATTTAACGATTATTATCGTTTTAAAAGTTAAGAATTTAATCTATGTTTGGCTATATTTTCGTATTTCATTTGCTGATCGTCGTCCTTCATTTTCATAGTGAATTAAGTTGAAGTTGTATAGTTCGATTATCGAGTTATCTGAGAATAGGCAATATCAGTGCGATCCCAATTCCTCCTATTACGATTGTTATTCCTTAATGGGAGTAAATTTACCATTAAAAGGAATTGGGATGGTACCTACCATTTGTCCAGAATGGCTTTGCGATGATGTCTTTCAGCCTAGCAATCAATTGAATGAGCCAAATCAGAGATTTAGAAATTAGTTCAAAAAATAATCGCACTTTGGCTTTATTCATCATTCTCTTATAGATTTCTACATTCCTTACCAAATTCTCAAAGTGAATATTTAGAGTAATATACTGAACGCAGTGAATAGCAACAGATGGTTAAATCTTCCATCTCACGAGTCAATGCTATCGATACTGAGTGGTGACTCTCTTCCTGGCGGCGATACATGCGATGCTGATGGTTGCACACGAAGAGGGCCCGATCAGATGGTCTCTGAAGATATCAGCGGTGTTGAGAAGGTTAACATTTAATGCACTTAAAATCCCCGTTAACTTTTCTAGAATACTGAAGGAATTCAAACATTGAAGTATTTTTTAATTTGTAATTGGAAATTTTCGAAAATTTTGAAGAAAATGGAAACCTTTAAATTTTTACACCAGTATTTACTTTATTTAATACTTTCTTTCTCGAAAACCAACAATTTTTGAGGTGAAATATACTTGCAGATACTGTATTCCCTTGATCAGATTGCTACTTTGAGTGATATGCCATTTTGTATGGATGACAATTCAAATGCGCGAGCAGTTCTCTATGACCAAGAATTGAGGAATTTGCTTCAGGTGAGCGATTCGCTTTTAATGCATCCATTTTATTTTTGCTCTCTTTTTATTTTTACTTATTTTTTCATCGTTTAATTGCTCGTTTTCGAGCCAATCTACCCAGTTATATTTTAGTTTATTTTCGTACTTTCGATTTTTTATTGATAATTACTTGGCTATTGATTCAATCTCTTTTCGTTGCTCCTTCGCTTTATTAATATTCTACCAGTTTAATCTGATTTGTGATCATTTATCTAAGCCTATTTTGTTGAATGGTTTTAGATCACTCTCTCCAACTATTAGTTTTCATCCGAAAAATTGCGATTTAAAAATACGAGAGGTATATTTACCATTGGACATTTTTTCTAGTATAAGCTATTATAATCGTCTTCATGACTGACCTATTGACCTTTCCTTTTACTTACCATCCCGCTTAAATCATTAATTTCCTCTATTTTACGTTGTATTTACCAGTTCAATTTCGCGTTGAATGAATGAATGATTGATCAAATGTAACCATATGTAATGGTTATAACGTAGCCATCGTCTTCTCTTTCATTAAAGAATACTTTTATAGATGTATAATTTTAATGCTGTCAAACGTAAAATGGCTTTGTTCAAGGAGAATATAATTTAATATTATGCATTATTAAATCTTATCGATACTTAGGCTGGTTGGAATCGATTCCAGAAATCCTTATCAAAAAAGATATTCATTTCAAAGAGGTCTGCTCCATTGCAATTTATTATGTGGGTCCCGTTATCTATTAAGACTACAAAACTTAAATGAAAGCTTTTTCTTATCATTTGGAATAGGTTTTCTTTTTTCATCACAAATTCATTTCGTTTTGCATATGCAATGATTCAATAATTCTACATCTTTCTAAGGGTTAGAACGATAAGTAGATAACTTAAAGATGATATTTTCTTCACTCAATATTGTTCTTATTTCGGAGTGCTGGTGCTAAAGTTCCACGTCCGGCAGGAATACTATCCTTCAGAAATCCGAGTGAACCTCATGATTCACCTTTACTTTTATCGCAAAATGATCCCAGGCAAAATTTCTTTGGTTTTACTCCGATGGAGTTAATTAAATATGATGAATGCTTTTAGATTTACAAAAAATTCCAGGTAATTGCCATTCAGTTGACGTTATTTTTTTTATTATCATTCTTTTTTAACAGCGCTCACCTTTAAGGGCCTTTTGCCAGCATTTTTTACGATAGGTAAGATGAGGGTAAAAGCAGGTACGTCCACCATATCACTTGGATTTCATATCCATAGCAGCTAATATTAAAATTTTCCTAGATTGAGAGGTTCATTTTTAATTTCTCTAATTTTCTCAAATCAAATTCATTCGATAATTAATTAGTTTGATGTTGCTAAACTTTATTAAATTACTATCAGCTGATTAGTTTTAGCTGGATTAATTGAAGCATTTTGTTTCTATAGTATTAATTTATTATTTATGCATTCTTATAATATGTTGGATTTATTTGAATTTAATCAATCTCTTTGTAATAAATGATAAGGTAGCTTAATGTAGATATCTTTTTCATTCGATATTGACGTAAAACCATAGAATTTATCATTTTCCCATTCATTAACTATATGAGTTTAGCAAATGAAAATAGCAACTGAACCTCCATTATATTTTTTTACGATAGGTAAGATGAGATTTTAAAAATTAAAGGAGATAAAGAAGAAATGAAACAGATTTTTGTGAAAAGGATAATATTTTCAAGGCCTCTGATAATCAAATAACTATTTGCTTTCAAAGGAATTGCAGTAAATATAAGAATCTACTTTAAATTATATTTCAATAAAATAGCCTTTTCTTCGAAAATTCCCTTGTGAATTCTTACCCAAGAAGTGAATTATTTTTATGTTCATTTTCTAAGCAGTGAAAATTTTGTTCGAAATAAGGAAGAGAGATAAGAAAATGCATCGCACGACATCCATTTTAAGTAATTATGCTAAGAATGTTGCAATTAAGAACGATTTGTTTATTTTATCCGATTCTGCTAAATTTCGGTTGTCAGAATGAAGACATTTTTCAAAACTGTGTAAATAGTGTAAATGTTATAAAAAATTTTTTAGCGTGTTGTGAAATATTAAATTTTGCAAAATATACTTTCTCTCATCGTTTTTTTACACCATTGAAGTTTTATTTTAATTAACATAACTATTTTTTACTGCAAATTTATTATTAATCTAATATTATTAAAAAACGTAACAGAATAAACGCACCAAATGGATATTGGCTGATATTGAGAGACGAGGGTTCAGGTACTGCTGCCGACATCAGTGGATCTATTATTTAAAATCCAGATGGTGGTGCCTACCCATCTCTGCTTGTATCCTCGTATGATTATCCGATTAAAAATTTTTAGCAGCATTGACACCTGATTGAGCCTAACTAGAAATAAATAGTGCTGGCCACTTACTTACTTAATAAATCATTAATAATATTTACGTTATCTTTAGCTAAATTTGGTACCAAATTTTTTTCTTTCTTATATTGAAGCAGTTATTCGATATTAAAATTATTCGATAAATCTTTAAAGTAAAATCTTTTTTGTCCAATTTTTCCTTATTCTTTTTCATATTTTAATTAACTCTGTCAATTTCAATTTAAGTTTAATGGTGAAATTAGATTAATGCTTTGAAATTAACATGAAGTTTTTTGCACTTTTTCTTACTGATAAGACTACACGTAAACCTAAATTTTTAATTACATATCCGCAGTAATTAATTACATATCCGCAAAAAACTATCCATTTCTAAGTTTTCGTGAATATATTCAAGCATCTTTGTTTCTTGTGGTTTAAAACTGTAGCAGCTATCATTATTACCACCACCAACACGGCCATCATTTTCATCACCATCATCATCGTGCCCATCGCCTTTATTACCACCACCATCAACTTGTAGATGAAAGTTGGTTCTTTGCAATTTTTGGTAAATTTGTTTCCTGAGATTGTAGTTTATATAGTTGAGCGAAATTTGCCCATTATTCACATTAAAGCGAAAGCCTTCTATAGCAATATTTATTTTATTTTACAATAATATTTTTCGGTTTTTTTCGAAATCATAGTTTTGAAAAATTTTTATTGTATTACTGCACTTTTAAAATTAACTTGGTTCGCTCGAAGAATATTGAAATTTAATTTAAAAATTAATCAATTCATGAATATTTAAGGAGTGCATTACACATACGAATGCGAATAATTTTTCTTCTACTATTTTTTTATCAAAGGAACTTTTTGTCAAAAAATGCCTAAGTCATTAGTTCCAAAATAATCTACTCTTTCATTGTTCGAATCTGAGAAAGAATCGCCTTAAATTTATTGCTGCAGATTGTGAAACCAAAGTGAATCGTTTATCTTTTTTTTCGCGTTTTGGTCATTAAACTATAAAAATTTCTAAGTTCCAAAATTTTTTTACCTCTGATAAAATAAGTGGATGTGACCAATTTCACCAACAATAATAAAATTTTAGTCGAATTTTTCTCGAGTTTCCGTCATATCTGTCATTCCTAAATTGTCCCATCCGGTAGATTATTTTTTCTTTTACTTTTTTTTCACTTAATTCTTATCGACGAATTTTTTATTCATTATTTCGTTCACGTTTCTGGTAATTTCTTCTCGAATTGCATTTGTGTTTTTCTCGCTGCTTCATTGATGGATTTAAGTTTTACACATAATGATGTTTAAATAATTTTTTTTCTTCATATTGTTCCGAGAATTAATTTCTCTCTTTCGTTTGTCAGTGTTATTAATATTATTTGCTTATTTCAATACATAAATAATCTGACTGGGCTTTTTGTTTGCTTTTTGTTAGAAAAAAGTCATTGTGGTGATTTCCACTGAAAATTGCTTCATTTGCCATACATTATATATTCATTAACCAATTCTCTTTTCATTTTTTATTAATGGCTTTATTTTTCATAGTAAAATTTTTTTAGGTATTGAATTTTGCTTGAATCTTATTGAAAAAATTTTTCCCCAAGAGAATGGCTCTCTCGCGAATTAGACTAATTAGCCAAACCCAATGAGGCGAGTCTAACCAGAAGTGCTGCAGAAGAAGTGTTTGGCGCACTGCCAAGCTACCATATTAAATATGGTCCATCAAATTTCAATATTTAATTAATAATTAATAAATAATTAACCGATAATTAATTAGATAATATAATATGATAGCCACTCACCTCATTTAAATTTTATTTCCTTAAATCGGGATTTTCTTGCGATTGACGCGATTCTATCGCGATTTCGATCATAGTTTTATTTATTACTTCAAATTTGGATTTAAATCATAAATTTATAATCTAAAAAATCCTACTTTTCTTTCAATTATAGATAATTTAATTTTTTACCACAGAAACGATATTATAATTATTTATAATTGTTGCACCACCATCCAAAATAAAAATTCTTGTTTTAAAATTTTTATAACTATTAATTTGTAACTATTAATATAACTAACTATTTATAACTATTAATTTTTATAACTATTAATCTTCAGAATAAGATCGACCAAAACAATGACCATGCACTGAACATTGATGATAAAACTTGTTAACAATAACATTTTAAAAAATCTAAAAAATTTAAATTATTATAATAGCCAAAATTCTTCATTATATAAATTAGCATTCACCATTTCTGATTAGAGAATTAGTTATTCCACTGGCTTTTGGTGGCAATTTT